ATTATTATTATTAAATTATTTATATTATATTTTATTATTCTATTCTTATTCTATTATTCTTTTATTCCATTTTTTAATTATTATTAAATTATTTATATTATATTCTGTTATTTTATTCTTATTCTATTTTATTATTCTTTTATTCCATTTTATTATTATTATTATTATTATTATTATTAAATTATTTCTATTCTATTATTCTATTCTTATTCTATTTTATTCTTTTATTCCATTTTATTATTATTATTATTATTATTACTAAATTGTTTATATTATATTCTATTATTCTATTCTTATTCTATTTTATTGTTCTTTTATTCCATTTTTTATTTATTATTATTATTATTATTATATTTCTGTGACCCTTTGCAATGCTGGATTTCTAATTATTATCATTATTATTATATTTATAGTATTATTTTATTATTTTACTTTATTTATTACTATTACTATTATTATTATTTTATTATTTTATTATTTTATTATTTTATTTATTATTAATTTTATTATTATTATTATTATTATTATTATTATTATTATTATTATTATATTTCTATTGCTCAGGAACAGTAGCCTAGCTTGGCAGTGTTGGATTTATCATTATTATTATTATTATTATTATTAAATTATTTCTAATTATTATTATTTTTATCATTATTATTATATTTATATTATTTATATTATTATTATTTTATTAATTATTATTATTTGAAGTGATTATTATTTAGCTTTGCAGAAGTGGATCTGCATTTTATTATTATTATTATTATTATTATTATTATTATTATTATTATTATATTTCTATTGCTCAGGAAAAGTAGCCTAGCTTTGCAGTGTTGGATTTATCATCATCATCATCATTATTATTATTATTATTAAATTATTTCTAATTATTATTATTTTTATCATTATTATTATATTTATATTATTTATATTATTATTATTTTATTTATTACTACTCCTATTATTATTATTATTTAGAGTGATTATCATTATTTAGCTTTAGCTTTGCAGAAGTGGATGTGCATTTACTCCCCGCAGAAGCCATGGAGTTGGCACTCTGCGCATGCTCAGGAACACTAGAATGATTGGAGGTGCTGATCAGGAATGAAAGGCACTCTGCGCATGCTCAGGAACACTAGAATGATTGGAGGTGCTGATCAGGAGCTCTTTCTTCCTAATCCTGCCAGACTTTGGGAAGCCAAGTGGGAGGAGGAGGAGGAGGCCTGCCTTCTTCTCTCCTTCTTGCGAGAGGCCCTTGGCCGGGCGGTGGGCACTCTGCGCATGTTCTGGGCCCTTCCTTCCCTCCCTCCCTCGCTCCTTGCTGCCGGATGTGGGATTGGGCCGGACACAGAGCCGTCCTTGTTCTCCGTCCAAAGGGAGGGAAGACGCCGCGGCTGCAAAAACAAGCAGCACGCCTTGGCAAAATGAGCTGGAATCCCTTGCATTCATTTATATTTTCATTATTATTATTGTGATATTATTATTATATTATAATATATTATAATATATTATAATATAATATAACATAATTATATTATTGTATTATTGTATTATTATATTTATTATTATGTTGTTACTATATTATATATTATATTATTATTTATATTTTATTATTATTGTTTTATTATTATTATATTATAATATAATATAATTATAATATCATATTAATTTTATATTTATATAATATAATTATATATTATTTATATATATTATATTTATATAATATAAATATTTATATAATATAAATATTTATATAATATTAATAATAATATATAATATATATATAATCATGTATTTATATATATCTATATTATATCTATATAATATAAATATGTATATAATATGTATATTATATCTATATAATATAAATATGTATATAATACACGGTTCCGGCCCCACCTACCTCTCTTTATTATTATTTATTGTATTATTATTTATTGTTATTTTATCATGTTATTACTATTATTACATTATGGTTTTGCATTATTTTATTATTTATTGTTTATATATATATATATTATTGTATATTATATTTAAGAAGAAGAAGATAAGTAATGTAAGAAGTAATATATGTAAGTAAGTAATATATGTATTATATTATTATATATTATATTATAATAATATTATTATATTATATATTATTATTATTATATAATATATATATAATATAATAATTTATTATATTATATTATATATATTATATTATAGTATTATTATATATTATATTATATTATAATATTATATATATATTTATTATATTATTATATTATATATTAATATATATTATATTATATTATTTATATTATATTATATTATTATATTATATTATATATTATAATGATATAGTATTATATTATGTTATATTGATGTATTTATGGGTTTTGTTATTAGTGTTTTACTTATTATACTTATAATATAAGTCTATTATATATAATATGATGATAATTATGACATCATATAGATATATTTTATTATTATGTTATGATTAACTATAATTATATATTCATATTATTTATATTTTATTATTATTGTTTATATTATTCTATTATAATATAATAATAATATTAATATTATTATATTTATATTATGTTACTATAATATATTATATTATGATTTATATTTTATTATTATTGTTATATTATTATATTATATTATTATATTATGTTACTATATTATATATTGTATTATTATTACTATATTATAATATAGCATTATATTATTTTATTATTATATTTATTTATACCCCGCTTTAACTCTTACTATTATATTATAGTATATAATATTATATATAATATTATTACTAAATTTAATATTATTATTATATTATAATCTAGCATTTGTATTTGATTATTTTATCATGCTATTATATTAGAGATGCAACAAACTTCAGAAGTCACCTACTATGAATGCATATAATAATAATAATAATAATAATAATAATAATAATAATAATAATAATTTTCTTTCCAGGGTTCGGCGCCTCCTTTAACATCGATGTGAAGAGACCCCAAGTGTTCCGCGGACCCCAAGAAGCCCAATTCGGCTACAAAGTCCTGCAATACACGGCCCGGGGGCAGAAATGGTGAGCCTGGGGGTGGACTAGGTGACCTCTGGGGAGCCCCAAACCCAATCATGTCGTTCTATAGAACTATATCTCTCATAGTCAAATGGCTAAAGGAGAGTTGGGTTGGACTAGATGACCTCTGGGAGCCCCCAACCCAATGTTATGGTTCTATATAGAGTCTTAAGGAGAACCTTAGAGGCTATCTAGTCCAACCTGGATAAAAAGGCTTGGAAAGGAGGAAGAGGGTGGGAAATAAATAAATAAATAAATAAATAATATTTTATAGTCATGATTTATAATTATATTTTATAATTATGATAATTACTTAAAAATTATTTTATTTAAAATAATTATTTTAAAATAATTATAATAATTATAAAATATAATTATAAATCATGACTATAAAATATATTGTTATTATTATTTAAAATAATTATTTTAAAGTAATTATAATAATTATAAATCATGGCTATAAAGTATATTACTATTATTAAAAATAATTATTTTAAAATAATTATGATAATTATAAATCATGACTATAAAATATATTATTATTATTTAAAATAATTATTTTGAAATAATAATTATTATTATAAAATATAATTATAAATCATGACTATAAAATATATTATTATTATTATTATTTAAAATAATTATTTTAAAATAATTGTAATAATTATTAAATATAATTATAAATCATGACTATAAATTATATTATTATTGTTATTATTATTTAAAATAATTATTTTCAAACATAGGGAACCCATTCGTCCCCATTCAGACCACTAAGTATCCCGTACTTGGTTGACCTTGCAATGTCCTATGCATGAGTCTTCACTCCCAGCGGTCACTCACTCACTCACTCACTCTTGACCATTACTCATCATTCCGAATTCCCCTTATTCGTCCTTGTAATAAATCCCAATGGGGGAAGTCCAAGGGAGGAGAGAGATGGAAAAATGGGGTGGACTAGATGACCTTTAGGGCTTCCCTTATATTATATATTATTATTATTATTATTATTAAATTATTTATATTTTATTTTATATTTTATTATTATTAAATTATTTATATTTTATATTTATTTTTATTATATTTATTTTATTATATTATATTATTATTATATTATATTATTATATTATAATTCTTTTATTATAATTATTATATTTGTATGACCCTCTGTGTATTATTATCATCATTATTATTACTAAATTATTTATAATATATTTTATTTTATTATTTATATTATATTTTATTATTCTATTCTTCTATTATTTATATTATATTTTATTATTTATATTACATTTTATTATTCTATTATTTGTATTATTATTGTTATTAAATTATTTATTTAT